ATATATATACATACACACACACACATACATATATATATAAACTTCAGACTTAATTTACTCAAGTGTAATAATAAAGAAATGATTTATGCAGTCCTATTTATCTCTCGGCCTCTTCCGCACACACTGAGTCATAACAGCTTGCTCCCTCGGCTGTCTGCTTGAAGCCAGAGCAGCAGCTGTGTGATCATGGGTGAACTTCAGGTAGACTTCCTTTGTAAATCAGACACTCTACTGGAGACTGCTGTAGTCATTGTGCTACTGCACATGTGCGTTAAAACAAACATACTGCACAGTTAGCATCTATTTATCAACTGCGAGGTTCAGAGAAATTAACGCTGATGTGCAGAGCAGCATCTTTCTCTCACATACCTCAGGTTACGGATCCAGTGGATGAGCGAGGGACCGCTGAGCATGACGGGCAGAGTGAAAAGCGCCGACAGGCAGAGGTGGAGCTGCAGGTCATCCCTCACCTCCTGCAGGGCGCACTCCGACAGCAAGGGGGTGCCGTTGCTTTCTTTAGACCTGCTCAAGCATTCGGGATCGATTGTGCCATTCTCAGCTTCTTTGTGCTTCCGGGGAGCCTGGAAAGACACCAGAGGAGATGAATCAGACAAAGCTTGGTTTATAACAGTTTGGCAATCTGTATTTAAATAAGCAGATGTGGGAATGCCATAAACTGCAGTTCCCCTATTGTCCACTTGGGGCCGTTGCCAGCCAGTCACTCACTCAATCACTGCAGCAAAATTAAGTACGGTTACAGCCTGATATGAAAGAAAAATGAAAATCTTACAACATAAATGTTAGTTAAACCTGAACATCTTACCAGATTCAACATGTGTCTCAAATATCTTTCTGTCATCTGCAGCCTCAGAACCTGAGAGCAACAAACAAACACAAACAGCAGCTCAGCTGAAACTTCAAAACAGAGTTTGTTTCCACAGAGGAAGTCCATGCTACACCAAAGGCTCCTGCACCACTTAAAAAATAAATTAATTAATACAATTCATGGTTTTTAAATATCTATTTAAGAACATAAAATATACACTAGAAAATCTGTTTGCTTTGGTGTTTGGTCAAGACAAAGACAAACTGAATACTCCTGAGAAAGTCTCATGAAAAGCCCAAAAGCTTTAAAACCTGATTCACAAAATTTACCTGCCCAGCACTGTTTTTATCTTCATAATCAAATTTAAAGTAAATTTATGGTAAATATTAGATATTTTAAGGCTGTTTTTCCTTCATTATAATCTGAATTACAGGAAGTGTTACCTGCTAAGCAGCTCTGGACAGCAGAATTATAAATAATTTAATTAAATCAATATTCACCCTATAAAGGTGGAACAGGAACGAGGCAAATATCGACAACGCCCCACAGGAAGTCCCGCCCATAACAGTCAGACACAGCGTGATGAGGAGCTGGGTTCGCAGCCGCAGGGTGCCACAGTCTCTGGAGACAGACGGCCTGTAGATGAAAAGAATTAAAACTCAAGCGAACAAACAGACAATCAGCCACAGTTTCAAATGTTTGAATGAACCTCGGTACCTGTGCAATGGAGCCAAGACCAACGAGATCAGCCGGATAACAAGTCTGAGTAGAGTGCTGCCCCAGTACGCCACAGCTGCCCCAAAAATATACAGCAGAGGGGAGAGGAGGTGAACCCATTCTTCACCTGGTGTCTCCTCTTCATGAAATGCCACATCAGGGAAGGTTGGAGGGAGTGTGTCCATAGAGGGGAGGAAAAGCATGGACCAGACCTCCTGAAAGCAGCTACAGCTGTGGGGGGGACAGAAGGGAAAACCATCCTGAGGGGTTTGACTGTTATATGAAAATTTATCTTAAATTAAAGCAGGAGGCCGAGGCGGTTTTAACTACAGTCAGTTTTTTCCGAGGCCAGAAAAAAAATAACCTTCCCACTCAGCTTCATATTAGAACCATTAAGCTTACCTGAGTGCGATGTGCAGAATATACACAGGCAGGTTGACTTTGTGGGGCTGCAGGCCTTTGCCCACCATCTGACTCATGTCTGCAGCTCGCCTTGACTTCAGGATGGAGGACACCTGCCCCCCACAGGCCAGAAGGAGGGTTACAGCTGTGTACACTGGTACCATGTGACCACAGAACCTCAGTATCTGTCAGATAAGATGCCACAGCGTGAATCAAGTTGGTAATTAAAGATGAAAGATTTATTCGAATGCCACGATGCCCCTAATTTCACCGGAATAAATAAAACAAGGCAATTCCTACCTGTCCGAGCACCCTGGGTAACGAAGTTCTTATGGAGACCTAAGTCACAGGGTAAATATTTAACAGTTTGTCACAACAAATGTGAAGAAGACTCGACCTTCTTTCTGGTAGCTGGAAGGTAGTACCTTATACTGGCAGTTGGGGGCAGTGTGGAGCTGCAGGAGTGCACCTGAGGTGTTGTCTGGACGGCTTGTGTGGAGCATCCCTGAGATCTCCGTCACTGATGGCACGCTGGCAGACAGATCACATCAATCATGACAGGTTAAAAGAAAAGCTACTCATCATAGGCCAAAAACAGTTCTTGTTTTACTGGTACTAGTCTAAGTCAAACCCCTCAGTTCATCCTCTGTCTCTAACAAGCAGATGTAAAACCTCTTTAAGTAAACTTTCTTTTGATTGGCTGTCCCTCCCAAACAGAAGGTTGGAACTGCAGGTGGGTCAGGCTTCTGCGCTCTGGCATGATCGCAGTGGGAAATTCGATCTTACTGACATCAGACGGGCCAAAATGTGGAGGGAAAATAAAAGCATTTGGCTTACCATGGTTACTTAAACATAGTCTCTAAGAATAACTTCAGAAACTCACCTGACCGTGGTTAAAGAGTCCTCTCGAAACCATGGCACCTTTATCCTGTACACGCTCGGCAATCTGTCTGCAGACACACAATCAGTCACCACTATTACATTACAGCATGAGCACATGAGCCTCTAGATCCAACAACACACACTCACCTTTCTGCACTTTGCACTGGCTTGCAACATTAATTCTGAAAGCCTGATAGACCTGGAGACACAGAGGAGTTTTAAATTTAGCTGAAACAGGGAAGCTGATCCTGACTAGAACCTGAGAACACAGTGAAAGCTACCTGGTGAAAGTGTTGCAGCTTGATGGTGTGAAGAAGTCCAGAGGAGTTAACCGTAACGTCACTCGAGGTCAAACCTAAAAACCCAAATAACAATTGCTGAAAAAGAAACAAAAAACTTTTTTTTTTTTTAAAGTTTGTGAATCGGTTTTACTAGATTACTCACCGAAGGACAGGACATGCGGCACTGCGACAGACAGAGTCTGAGATTCTTCTCTTTGCCACTCACACTCCACCGTGAACTGCAGAGCAGACAGACACACAAACCTTGACAAGCTCTTTAAAAAAAATGGGGGTTTGTTTGTTTGGCTTCTTCCTCTTCTGGCCTCTGTTTTTGGGTAGTCTGAGGCTGATCACAGATCAGGTCAGAATCAGCATGTAACATACAACTGGATCACCTCCATCACTGCTTTTGGTTTAGTTGAGAGAGGCTTGCCCAAGTAGGACGCAGCACACATCAAATCCATTTGCTCACGGTAAATTTACAGCACAATAACATCTGCGGGCTAAATTGGACATCACACAGACTTTACACTATGGAACTAGGAGGTTAAAGCTAGTCTTAGCAGAATTTGTGAACCATTGTAGTTTCACCTCTGTTAGGTTTAAAACGGTAAAAGGAGTGAAAACAGCTTCAGCTTTTTATATATCAAAAAAAACCTTTAAATCCTTTGATGCCACTGTGGACTTGTGCACATTGACCACAAACACTCATGACTAAACTCAGCTATTCTTCGGAAAGCTGTGTACAAAATCTACAGCCAGAAAGATGATCTGGAGCTTAAAGTTTAAATAAAACAAGCCAACACTGGTCTCCTCATTTCAAATATAGGCTATGGAAGTAGAAGTATAACAATGGCAAACAGACCAGAACATTTTTACTGCAGGTTAATCTGAAATACTGAGTCATTGTTTAGTTTGAAGTACCTGCTTGCCATTGAGGTTTGAGGCCGAGACAAACAGATGAGTAAAAGACGACAAGTCACTGAGCCTCAGAGTCAGGACCTGAGGAGGACGACAGACTGTTAGGACAGCTGATGGGATAAAGCCTGAACTGAATGGAGTCTCTTTTAGACCATAGTTACCTTGTAGGGAGGCAAAAGCTCAGTTCCCTTAGACAGATCCGCTGCAAACACACTGGAGGAAAAGGGACACAAAAGAAACAGAAATAAATAATTGTGTAACACATCCACAAACTCCATCACATTTTTCACATTGGAGAAAAATATTAAAGATGCTTATTGAGAATAAAGGTGGTGTGAAAAGCTTGACATTAATGATATTCTTACCATGATGAGCCATTCTTTTGCAAACAGCCGTACACCCAGCTGGTCATCTCCTGTTGGACAATAAATCAGAATCTCTTTTCACTTGGTTTCAAATTTAAAAAGATGTTCTTGGTTCTCCTGCACTAAATATGAAGCATTTAGCCTTAACTCTTACACATGTTAATATTATCAAGCTCTTACAGCTCAAAAACAAAAGGTAGTAACTCACCAGGTTGTTGCTCCGGCAGTAGAAATGGCTGTAGGCTTTCCTGCGACTCGACAGGGCAAACAGGAAGAACTTGGGTTGTCCTTCCTGTACAAACAGAGAGCAAAACACTTATGATTACTGTAATGGCTTTGTTTGTTTTGTCAGATTAATTAGTCAAATAATCCTGTTTTGTAGCCTTGACCAGATGTGAAGTGCGACATGTGGGTTTAACTGAGACATCGTTTATGGGACGCTACACGCTCATACTCGTACTCTTCAAGCACAGTGTAGTCACACCGTAAAGCACAGCCTGATTTATTATCTTATTTTCATTTATTTTTAATGAGACAATAATTGACAGGAACATGTTTACTGAGGTCACAAGTAATTTTATAATTTCTATACAATCAGAATTCTTTTTGAAACAGGAGGCCCCGCCCCCTCATGGCCTTTAAGCACTACTGCACTGGTTTCATTTTTCAGACCTACGTCCATCTTTTTCATACAGTCCATGGATTAGACATTACTCCAGATGGTTTCATTTTTACCGAGTAGATACATTTTATACATTAAAAATAACTTTCTTTTACAACTTGTATCAGCTACTAGCAGATAATCCATTCAATTATTAATCATCATTACAGATGGGTGAGGCTCTGTTGTACCTTTGGTGTGCTGTAAGCCAGACGAAGTGTGTTAACTTCACTCCATGCATCAGGAAGATCTGGAAAAGAAAACAAACAGGACACTGATCTTAGTGATTCATCATTAATGCACAGTGAGGTACAGTGAAACTTTGGATGCAAGTGTATTACACTGTCGCCATGAACCATAAAAGAAGAGATGGAGACCTGAAATGGAGACTGGTGTCTCTTGAGTTTCTCCAGGCAACCTCACGGGATGTTTAATGAAATGATGGTTCAGCACAGCTAACTTCTTCTCAGAGTTTTCTGTGAACTGTTAAGAGTAAACTGATTAAGTTAGGTTGTCAGATTTATTCATTTGCTTTAAATATTCCTATCTCCCAACTCTCTCTGATGGAGGTTTGTCTTTCATGTCTCCTCAGAAGGAAAACACATGTTGTTGTTGTTCACACCTGTCTGGTTTCAGGATCGATAAGATCAAAGAACGCCCTGACAGTGGCAAGAACAAGCTCCTTGCACCTGAAACACAAAGACACACAAACATAAATAATTTTAGTAATATTTAAATATGGCTCCAAAAAAGGAAAAAGTCCTTTACCAGACAATGGACAGATGATCAGTAGACACCCACGTCCTGGGAACTGCAGTCACCTTGGTAAAAACAAGACAAAAAAACTTAAGATACAAAAGTACATTTTAAAAAACAGCACTTGGAGTCAAAAACAACACAAAATGAGAACTTTTCCTTCAAATAGTCCCAAAGTGAGAACGATACCAAAAGGAACCAGAGAAAAAGGGCTGAATTGAAACTTTATTCAGGAGCAAATCGTACCACCAGTGACAGCTTGTTCGGGTCTCCTGGAGGACACGGCAGGGAAGTGAGGCCGGAGCGGACCTGGTAGTCACGATAACCACCCCCGACGGACAAAACTGTGACATTCCTGAGCTTGTTTGCCTGGTTAACCCACTTCTGTCTGACTGCAGAGTAGAAATCTGCACACAGCAACCAAGCAGAAAAAAAAAAAAGTAGAAATCTGTTTATGCTACACGAACGAGTCGAACTGAGCAGGTTTGACCAACTCTTACCCAGCAGGTACGGGTCCAGGGCCAGCACTGGAGCCAGGTGAGGGGAGGCCTGGGTGATGATGAGGCTGACCAGGTTAGTGTTGAAACGAGGCAAAGTGAACAGTGCCCGGGCCACCACTCCTCCCATGGAGTGACCGACGAGCACAACGCTCTGAGGTGGGGTCTTCAGGTGCTGGAGAGATAAAAACCCGTGAAATGTTCAAGTCTTCTGGCGTGTGTAGAGTTCAACTTAGTTTCCCTTCACTTTAAATTTGACATTAGGTGAGGACCGGTTATAATCGCTCTCTCTCCATCACTTGGAGTGACCCAGTCTGATATTCAAGGCCTAACCTTGTACAGCCTCAGGATGGCTTTGATGCTCTCGTGCAGGAAATGCGTCTGCCTGAGCAAACTGCCGCCGTAAAGCGCCACCAGCTCCTCGTTGAAGTCCACAGTGAACACGTTGAAGTGGAGACCTCCCTCCATGGTTTCAGCCTTCCTCAAAGCGACTGAGCCCAGAGATCGAGCTTCAACAACAGAAGAACACAGATGGTGTTAAATCAGTGAGGATTAAACTGAATGATGTGGTGCAGCTGTGGGGTCAGTACTACTTAGCTATCCAGCATCATCTGATCAGATAAATCTCTGCAAGAGTTATTTATAATTTTATTTTTTCAGACTTTGGATTATTCATAAAAGTGATCATGGAAGCCAGAAAATGGAAGCAGGAGAAGAAATGTTGAGGAATACTGCATGCAGGGCAGCAAAAAACCACCAGAGTAACAGCAAAATCTGTTTGTATTCACAGGAATAAAAGCGGGGGCGTTCCCCTCCTACACACAGCTGGTGGAAAGAACGGATAGCCACCATCATCTCAGAAAGGAGTTGCATCAACAAGAGTTATTAGTTGGAGAGAATATTGAAGTCACCAGAAGATTCCAGGTTAGAATTTCCCAAGAATTCCCCCAGAATTAAAAATCTAATATACAATAAATTATATTATAAAATGCAGTGCACATTTATTCTTAAACCATTAAAAAGTATATTCACCTATTAACTGCATTTTATTTAGCATTAGCATTGCAGGTTTGAGCAAATTCTACTCAGCAGGAATAAACAGCACATGTGCTGAGGACTGTTTCCACTCACAGGTTTATTTCTATTATGTTGGACTGATTAAACTACAGTGAGTGAGTTCATGATACTAAGAGAAGTACAGCAGTGAGGCTCGGTGATGCGTTTAAAATGCCGTAATAACGACACAGCAAAAAACAAGCGCAAACTGTGAAAACATGTGCTTGAACCAGTTTTTCATGATGAATAGATTAGAAAAAACACACTGAAGTATCCTGATCGATGTGATAATGCAAAAAGCTTTGAGCATCTACTTAAAGTTAAAAAACTGAATGCTTGTGTTCCAAATTATGAGTTTTTATTCGAAACCAGGGATGTATATGGTATACCCCAACACTTCAAACCAGCTTCAAGACCCATAAACCTAATTAAGGAAGTAAATAAGTTAATACTAACATGACTTAGCAACTTGGGGGTTGAAGCATCACAAGTTATTGTTGACCAACTTAATTTAGTGCTTACTCTAAACGATGATACATAATCGCCCCAGGATTTCCAACACTTTGCCTTTTCCTGTCTTCAATTAAATGTCAGTTTCTACATAACATTAATTTTGTGGACTATATGAATCCAGTCCTCGAGTGAAGTCAAGTCCTTCACCAACTTTTTTTTTTAGAGCTTTCTTACAAGAAAATGTTCAGAGATTTGTTTTCAAATCCATCCATCACTGAATTATTTTTTTCTTCATAAATATATTTGCTCATTTTATACGACTACAAAAATAAGATAAAAACCTCCTAGTTAAACAAAACAAACAAAAAAACAAACAAGCCACAACATCCAGTTCAATTCAGTTTTATTTATATAGCATCAAATCACAAAAGCAGTTGCCTCAAGATGGTTAATATTGGAAGATAAAGACGCCACTAAAATGAATGAGTGAAACACCCAACATCAAAGAAACCCCTTTGAGCAAGCAAATGGCGACAGTGGGAAAGAAAACCTGCCTTTTAACAGGAAGAAAAACTCCAGCAGGCTCAAGCAGGTGCCGCTGTCTGACAATCCATATTCACAACAGTATGGAAACAGATATACAGCTGTGGTCTGAAACAGTTTTTATGCTATTTCACCTTTATAAAACCTCCCACCATTTTTCTATTCAGGTTAAATTTATGCTTTTAAAAGGTTTCAAGCGATGCTCCTCTTAGTGAGTTGGGGGCTGTGAGGTACTCTTGATGACAACTGGCTGGGCAGAGAGAGACTGTCACACATCATACCAACTTTTGGTTTTGCAGTTTTTTTCATGTGTCAGAGTACAAATACATGGGAGGAAGTAGTTTTAGACCACGCGATTCCCTGGTCTCTTAACAAGGAATGTCATTTGTTGAAGAAGAAAACAGCCCTCAGTTTCACAGCCCAAACACAACACTAACTTTGGACATTTTAACCCCTCATGTGCAAAAAGCAAGCATCACAAAGACAAAAATTTCTGTTTGTGAAGGAAACTTCAGTTTGTTTTTTCAGCCAGAAATGACTCAACAAAAAGCTTGATGTCCTCCGTTTCTCCTTTGTCTTTGCTGTAGCACAAAACTTAACTTCTCAGTTTTTTCCCCCACTCGTTCATGATAGTTTAAATGTAAGCACTGGACCATTATCAACTTTGCACTCTTACCTTGTTTATAACTTCCGGCATTTCCAGGCAGGAAAAGCACAGGGGCGCCGGTGAGTTTGAGTGCTCGGGTCTCCTGGGCGTAGACACCCTCTCCGTACAGGTAGAGCCCGTAGGCCGGGTACAGTCTGGCCACACGGCGAGGCAGCGCCACACGCTGACACCACATGGAGAGTGGTTAGGAGGCAAAAACTCACACAGCTCATTAGCCTGCTGTCACAGTTACATCACAAAGAGCTTGCTATAAAGCAACTACAGCTGAGCCTACATGTAATCTACAGCTGATTTACTCCAAGCACCTACGCAAACACTGAGCATGAGTACAGCTGATCCTTAATGTTTAAAAGTGACAAATATACTATAACACTAGCTTTTTGTATTGACCATTAAGGGAATAATTCTGTTGGAAAGGTGGGGTGTTTGAAATGAACGGAAGTATGGACAGTAAGGAGCTGAAATTTTATGTAAGTCCTATTAAAAATTCATTTTTTCCCCTAGAAATTTTTAACAGGACATTCTGGGATTGTCAGGTACAAGTCATTTGGGGAGCTGCAGTATGACAAAGCGCTAACTCTCATTTTAGTTTGACACTCTGATGAAATGCCCAACATTCATAAGAAATAAATACGTTTACTTGGTTTTTATGGAGGGCCCAAAGTGTCAAAATTAAAAGTCCTCAAATGACTAAGAAAAACAAAAAAACTGAACTTACTGACTGCTTCTTTATTCATTTACCTATGAATTTACGCCATTGTCTATTTAAAATTTGACATGTTTTTAAAGTGTAGCATGATTTAAAAACAATTTATGGTCATCGATCGTTTTCTTAAACCTGTTTATTTCCATATTTCCTTTTCAAATGAAATGTACTTATTGTACCAAAATGGTGACCCCCTAACCTAAAAACTAACCTGTTTATTGGGACAATAGAGGCACTTTAATTTTATAAGACAAAGACTTCTGATCCAACCTGTGAAAACATTATAATAACCTAATTTTTAGGGACAAAGAAATATTAGATTGAATGCTCGTCTAAAAAATAAATAAATTGAGGTTTATGGATGTGACATTAAACCAAAGGTGATGAGATTGTGCGCCTGAGTGCAGTTTATTTTATGGTCATGTGTGACATCAATTTGAGGGCTTTGTGTCTAAATGAGACGCTTCTAAATGTCTTAGTTATCAAAGGGGGGATTTTATTGAAAGTAAATGGATACATTTTGTATTAACTGACTTATAAACGGTGTTAACACTTGGTAACAATGTCTCATTAACATTGTAATTCTGGAAGTGAAGTGAATTTTGGCTGTTTTGTTATCTTTTTACATTTCTTCATTAATTTCTGTTTCACGAAACGAACGAGGGCGGTGTCCTTCAAAGTGTCATCTCTTCACCTGCCGTTTGATCGACACTCGGCTCACGACAGAAATGGCCTTCTCGAGTCAGGGGATTAGAGAGCTGAAAATAAAGCTGTCAGTCAGGACCATTTACTTTGATGTTTAAAATAAAGTAACCGTGCATGTGATGTCTCATGGTGGGATATTGTAGCAGTTATTTTCAGACAAACACACACCTGCTGACCTTTCAAAATAAGAGCAAAGAGACTATCTAAAATAAAACACCTTACAGACAGTTTTAAAATAAGATCATTTTTCAAAAGAAGTTAATAATATATCTGGGAAGCATATGTGAGATGTCAAAACCACGTGGCAAAAGCACTGAGCCAACACAAAAATACTACAAGGTGCAGTTCCTCTAATGTCCACTAGATGCTCTAACTGTGTCCCCATTGACTCTAGTGTTAAATTGTCCACCTTTAAAGCAGAAATAAAGATGTTTACAGCTTGTCAATAGATAATTTCTTCCTTTAACAACTGTACTGGGTGAAATTTTTTAACTCAACTGTTCGTATTTTTTGAAGCCTTAACATTAAGGGCATGGCCAGTTTGACTGATCGGTGTGCCAATATAGACAGGTGTAGCTGACAGCTGGCTGGTGGGCCTCACTTCTGCTAATTTTAGTGACTTAACTGCACCTCTACACCACGTTTTGCTGCTGGCGCAAGTGGTGTAGCTTTGGTGTCTATTTTATTAGTCCTAGTTAGCAGGTATCTGGGTCTGTGCATTACACCTGTGTAGTCTATGACTTGCTAGTTCATATGCTGGCTTGAACGGGACTTTTGTTTTTGTCTTTCAAGTATTTGAAATGTTAATCCTTTAACACTAAAATTAAACCGAAAGGTAAATAACGGTAAATAAGGTTTTGTTTATTTTTAATTTAAAATTAAATAAATAAAGAAGCCAGTTAACATAGAAATATTTTGTTAGTTTATATCACATCTTAAAATGGATGCATTTGTTTTATTCTTTTTAACATCATGTCAATTTATTTTCTGAAGACTTTGTTTTAAATTTTGGCCGTCTTCGACCTCCATACCTTTCCGCCCTGTATATCTCGGAACTCTGTTCCCGATACTCTGTCCATTGTGCACATTAAGCATATCTACATAAAGTGGGACTCTGAATCCTTGTTCTCGCTAACAGAACACACACTCCTGAACTGTGTGGACTCAGGCTGATGCCCACATGGCGCATGGCCTCCAGCTGTGCCCCACTTCTGGACAGATGAACCCATTAGTGCGCATATAGAGGAGAGGAAGGCGACCACTTCAACTACTTTCACGAGGCTTGGACCTGTGTGCATTTAACCCACGTCCGATATCGTGCAAAGCTGATCTGCAGGTGACCTGCTGAGAGGGGTCAAGCATCAGCAGTTAATTCAAGCTGCATTGATAATAATCCGACTAACCTAAACCTCAGCAAACAAACACTCACACACCTGTCAGGGAGGACAAAGAGCGACCACACACACTGATAGGGTAGCCACGCACCTGACATTACTTTCTCCCTCAGTTAACGCTAGCAGCCTTCAGAAACTAGCTTAGAACACACCTGGCAGTCATAAACCAACATTCATTCGCGCTAATAAAAATAAGAAGCCACTTAGCGACACACAACCAGCCTCTGCCTTAAACAGCACACCGAATATACCTAACTGATGGCTGATATGCGGGTCTTTGGAATGCTCTGAGTTAATTAGCTGAGTACTCACCCGATACTCCGGGTATTCAAACATATAGGTCATACTGCATCTGTTCTCCTCGAAGCCTGTCAGCAACTCTCGCAGGCCGACCGCCAGCAGCCCCGCGGCCAAACCGTAAAAAGCCACCGCGGCGAGCTTCATGCTTCCACCGTGAGTGTGGCTTTTAAATTTCACTGATGTCTGAGCTACACGATTCCATTTTCCTTCTGTTCGTTCCCCGCCAGGCTGTCAGACACCGGCTGAAGCTCACAACAGGAACCACACGCCGCACACCCAAAGAGTGGCAGCTCGGCCGGCCAATGGGTGTAAAGCTCTAAATGAAATGGACCAATGAGAGAGCAAATAGGGAGTCACACGTTTCACGCGAGAAATAGCTACGCTTAGCTTAGCAGCTGTTGTTAAGTTTTTTCTTATTATTTTCAAATTTTATCATCTTGTGTGTTATTAACAGTATTACCTTTATTTATATGTATTTTTTTCAAGCAATTAAATATTAGTCAATCTGTGACAATTTCAAAGCTAAAATAATTAATTAAAGTGCAAATTATACAGCATTCGTGGCAGCTGCCAACTGGAAAAAATTAAAAGACAAATACCAATACCATGCCCTTTCCCCCTTGAAAATCTGATTGTATAATCCCAAGACAAAAAAACCCCAAAACTTTTTCTTTAATTAAAAAGTTTTGAGACTCGAATTTGAGATTCATTTTGAGACAATCTGTCTCAAAATGAATCTCAAATTCATATCTTCTTAAAGTGATTAATCCAAAGTGAAATTCAAAAGTAATTTCTTTTTAAAGAAAAAATACAAGCATATGTGTGTCTGTGATATTTTTCTCAAGGTGGTGGCGCAGAGGTAAGCACTGTTGCCTCACAGCAATAATGTATGGGCTGTTATTGCTGTTTCTGTGTGATTGTGTAATTCAGGCCTCTTCCCATGTCCATATGCATGCACACATGCATGGCTTTAACTGCGCATCTAATTAAGAAGTCTTAATATAAGAGTATAATAGAAGAATAAGTATAAGATATGTATGTGCATTAGTTAGTTTTTGCTGAGACTATTCTTATAAAGCAGCCTTTAGTTGTTCGAATTTAAGTCTTTGTTGTGATGATTCTAATATTTGACACCACTATTGGGTCCAAATTTGGTGTAGATCAGTGTATCTTGCGACAGAATGGCAATATTGTTTGTTTCTTCTCTTTTTTTATCCACATACCAAAGCTGCCCAATAAATTTAAACTGGCCCGTACGGGGATCGAACCCGCGACCGAACCCGCGACCTTGGCGTTATTAGCACCACGCTCTAACCAACTGAGCTAACCGGCCCTGTATATTAATGAGTGACACCGTTGACACGGACAAGAGGAAAAAGTTGGAGTCCTGCTGACAACGTAAGGATCTCGGCGTGCGGGGACCGGCACCTATTAACACCTGGCCGGTTAGCTCAGTTGGTTAGAGCGTGGTGCTAATAACGCCAAGGTCGCGGGTTTGATCCCCGTACGGGCCAGTAGGTCTTCATTGGTGTATATAATCAAGTTTAAAACCATCGTCTGAGTGTATCAGGCAGCCAAAGATATAAAGTATTCAATGTGTGCTACAAAGTGTTTCTCAGAGCTCCTCTGTCTGAAAGCAAACAACAAGAGAATTTAAACACAAGCTCTGATAGATGCCGACAATAATCTAAGTATAGACAATGTTTATAAATTCACTGTGGCTCATACAGGGTTTTTAGTTTGTTTTCTGTAAAGTGAGCGCAATACAAATCATTCTTGCCTGCTTGCTTTAGTGACAGTGTCCTTGGCCTGTGTGGACTGTATCAGCTAGGCTATACTTTTGAAGCAGAAAAATTTAAAATATGTTAATAATTAAATTAAAATCTATATACATAATAACGAATATATGAAAACAATCTAGAAAAATAAAATGTTTTACTAATTCTGAGATTGAAATCACAAATTTTTAAGAAAAACTTTAGATTTTTCTTATTTAAAAGGTTTCAGCTTTGTAATTTTGGAAATGTAGTCTTTCCTTAAAAACCCCCCCAAAAAACCCCCCCTCTGCAATAGTTTTGTTTATTTTTTAAAAACCTAGAACATCCACAAACATGCTGTCATCATATATACCAACAAACGCGTCATAAACTGCACAGGAGCAGCATACACTTCATTCCTCAAATCTTTAATAAAACCGAGTCTGCTGCAGCTTTGTGAAGCTGCCTTAACCATCAGAGACACATGTACAGCAGGTTCATACTCCAAAAACTCCTGAAGGCAAAGGGTCAGGAAATAAATCAGAGACAAAAAACAAAAACAAAAAAAATGCCACATACATCCTGATCGCAGCTCCACAGTTACAGAAGCAGACGTCGGTCGGTCTTCTCTGAAAAACAGTGAGTGTTTTCTCTCAAGGAATGATTTCACATGAAGTGTTTAATCTCATAATGCGTTCAGCTTTTAAAGATGAGAATACACAGCAGCAGATCAACGACTGAAAAAAGATTTAAAAAATCTCAGTGGTTTCAGTCACTTCGTCAGACTCAGGTCAAATTGAGCTGGGAGACATTTATCGCATCAGCACCATCACAATGTATTCATTTCAAATCAGCTGGTCGCTGTTAATCTGTCTGAAGACCCCACCCATCTGGGATCACATGACTGTTAACTGGAAGATAACACTTTCTTCCTGAAAGTGTTCGACTTTTGAGAGCAGGGGTTACAAGCCAAATCAGGCTTGAAACTCTAATTTCTACGTCATGAAAGAGCGAGGAAACAAACCAGGAGTCCAAGGTGGTATTTAGTAAAGCGGCTGTGATTGGCTCCTGTGTCTTTGCTTAAGTAAATTGTGGAAAAATCCAACTTAGTCCTTTTCATTGAGGAGCTGTGTCTCACTCCCCCCTGTGTGGATAATCTTGAGCTGTGACTATTTTTCTTTCAACACCACCTCAGTCCAAAAGCTTGGAGTGCTCTATCCTGGTGATGGTCCAGTCTGGAGGAACTCCTTTAGTAAACTCCCTCTGGAATCTGTCAGAGAGGTAAAAGGAAAGATCAGAATGACTCCAAGTAACTGAAAAATGTACAGAAATATTTTAAAAAAAAAGATACTCACTCATAAATTGCAGTAAGTAGTCTCTTAGTTTCTGGTTCTCCTTCTCCAATGGCCATCTGGAAGATACGAGCTCCCTCCATGGAGTCTTCGGGAAGGCGTGCGCTCGTTAGATACCAGAAACGCATCAGGATGCTGACAAACTTCCTACCTGGAAACGTAAACAGTTCATTTCCACCTTTATTTATACAGGTAAATCTCATTGCACATATACACTATGTTGCCAAAAATATTCACTCTCTGCCTTCACACACATATGAACTTGCGTTACATCCCATTCTTAATCAATAGGGTTTAATATGTTGGCCCACGGCTTGGACATTCTCCAAGAAGCACATATGTGAGTTCAGATACTGCTGTTGGACAGGAAGGCCTGGCTCACAGTCTCAAAGTCAGGACTCTGTGCAGGCCAGTCAAGTTCTTCCACACCAAACTCGCTCATCCATGTCTTTATGGACCTCGCTGTTTGCACTTGTGCGCAGTCATGTTGGAACAGGAGGAGCCATGCCTATGCCTTCCCACAAAGTTGGGAGCATAAAATTGACAAAAACATCTTGGTATGCTGCAGCAATAAGAGTTCATTTCACTTGAACTACAAGGCTGAGGTCATCTCCTGAAAAACAGCCCCACATCATAATCCCCCCTCCACAAAACTTTACACTTGGTACAATGCAGTCAGACAAGTACTGTCACCTGGCAGCAGCCAAACCCAAACTCCTCCATCAATCCGATGGATGAGTCTGAGTTTGGCGGTAGGTGTCGAAGAAGAAGTGTCATTCATCACTCCAGAGAACAAGTCTCCCCTGCTCTAATACAGCAAATACAGCTGCTCGACCATGAAACCCATTTCAGATCATTGATCGAGAGCTCCCCCCTCTCGAATCCATTCTAGGTGCTTGATTTTATACACCCGTAGACATGGAAGTGACTGATTTGGATGGGTGAGTGAGTGCTCACTATAACGTACGTACTGGTGATATAGTGTATAACAAGTATACACATCTATTTCTGTATTTAAAGCTTCCTACTGCTGCACTCAGCAGTCCACCACAACCACAACAAGAGTGTTTGCTGTGGACTATTTTCAGCTGTGGACTAATACAGTATCTGAGGCTTTGTTGTACCAAGTGAAAACAAACATGGTGCATGTTCATCTTAAGGAAAGAACACGTCACCCCAGTTTTAAACCTTGTTTATGATCGCAGCATTGGCTGCTGCACACGCCAACTGTGACATCATCACCGCCTCGTAAACATTTATACTAACGTCTGCAGACTTGCTGCAAGTCAGAAAAGACATCCACATGTCTTGAATAGAAGACGCCAAAATAGGAAGCAAAGTGACCGTGAAGCCCCCGCCCCACACCCGAGCTTCTCATCTTTTCCAGCGTCTGTCTCTCTGTGATCTGGGACTGGATCAAACCACTGTGAAGCACGAGGGGGAGTCAACTTATCAAAACCTTAAAAGGCCTCTCAGTGCTTCTTTCTTTGGGGTGCGTTGTGGGTGGTTGGATGTCTGTAGCACAGTCTGAGTCCTCAGACTTCAGAGGAAACTCACAAGCAGGTTTAAGGCCTTTCAGACAGTCTTACCCTGCCAGTAATCCTGACACTTCATACTTACCGTTGTCATCGTAGAAGATTCCCACATCCCCGGGGGTTGTGTACATGATCTCATCGGGCTCTGCAGACAGTGCTTTCTTATAGTCGGAAGGCAGCAGGTTGCACTTTTCCTCCAGCTTCCCAATCAGCTGTATGGTTGAGAAATTTAGAACAAGCAAAATAAAAAGCCTTTAAAATCCTGAGTTTATCTTTTAAAACAAGGCCAGATGTTTTGATTATTGCATATTTAGTAGCAAAGCCCTGAACCTGAGGAGTTAGTCTTACTCTGGAGTCTCTTAAGGTGATTTAAATCTATCTAAATCACCTTACAGTATTTTAGAAGCACTTAGAAGGACACAGATGTCCTTCATACGTCTCTATTCTGTCAAACCTTCTGCTACTCTGCTCTCTACCTGAAGCACAAAACACAAACTGGCAGACAGTCTAAAAGATGGACAGGTGTAATAAAATGAAGCCAATGCTAAGCCTTAAACCTGCATTCCTTTTGATGGCCAGTAGGAGGCGATTGCTCTGCTTGTCTGACTGTAAATAAGTCTGCACAGCGATTAGTTACCTCGCTCTGTGACA